TCCGTTAAATAATGAATTAAAAAAGCCTTTTGCCCACCCTTTAACCTTTTTCTAAACAAATATATCTGATTCGTTTTCCTCGGTTTCTAACTCTCTTACTATTAATAAGCCATTATCTTGACCTCTAAATCGACCATGAGCCGTAATAATTTGATTTTCTTTCAAATTAGCAATAATTTCCAGCATTTTTTCGGTTTCCACAAAATCCTTTTCCCAAAAAATCAACATAACCGAATCCATTCGATTATCAGTTTTTTGTCCGTTCTTTTCGGCTTCGATAATTTCCATAGGAACGTAATAATATTTATCGTTGTTGTCGGGACGAACTTTCGACAGAACCCCCATTTTAAGGCGACCTTTTAAAGTAATTAATTCTTGTTGTGTGCTTTCTGCCATATAATTAAATTTTATATTTATAGATTTATACTGTCTTTTCTAACTCGGTGGCTATTTTTATAACTTCTTTATCCCTCCCTCGCCCACCATTAATATTAATACTAACTGGTAAATTATTAATAAAGCCAATTGGCAAACTTAAACTAGGCAAGCCCGCCAAATTCGCCAAAAGCAATAAATTATCGCTCCAATGGTTTTTACTACCCAGAGAGATGAAGCTTGCTTGGTTAATAGGGGGTGCTTCACTATTAGTGCTAGGGAAAAGCAAAAAGTCCGAGTGTTGGAAAACTTTCTCAGTCCACTTTTTGACCTGGTGCCGAAAATGATAAGCCTGCTCTCGCATGGCTTTATCTTGGCAAAAATAAGCCCCAATTAGTAATCGTTCCCGCACCACTTTCCCTAAACAGTCTGTTCTAAGATGGGAGATGCTCTGCTGACTGGCTCTTTTGCCATAAATTATACCTTGGAGAGAATTAAGGTGGCTTACTAGTTCACTACTACAAATAATTAGTCAACAAGTTCGTAGATTTTCCCGAATATTCTTCGGCATTTCCCTCCTTTCAATTTGATAACCTTTTTTTTGGAGGATAGTGAGTGTTTGGCGATACAATTGAACAAAGGAAGGCGACAAATAATTTTCTATTCCTTTTATAATCACTACTTTTTTATTTGGTGGAGAGGGGTTGGCAGGGTCAAACTGGCGAGCCATAGTCAAAAGGTCAGCAGGGTCAGGCTGAGCAAGTCGAGGGAAAATTTTTTGAATAGTGATCACCGAGTTAGCCAAAATCCCGACTGTATCTAAGGAAGAGGCCATGGGAATAAGTCCAAAACGAGAAATTAACCCATAAGAAGGCTTAAAACCAACTATACCACAATAAGCGGCTGGTTGACGCACAGAGCCACCCGTATCACTACCTAAGGCAAAAGTTGCTAAATTGTTAGCCACTACTACGGCTGAGCCTGAAGAAGAGCCGCCTACCAAACAAGCCGAGTTATAAGGGTTAAAAATCGGTCCAGTGTTCGCATACAAACCAGTTCCCCCACACGCTAACTCATCCAACACCGTTTTTCCTAATAGTGTCACTGGTTTTTTGGTTAATGATTTAATTACAGTCGTATCTTGGTCGGGGTGAAAATTAGTCAGAAAGTTTGACGAAGCAGTGGTAGGAAAATCTCGGGTTCAAAAATTATCTTTGGCAAAATAGGTCAATCCTTTTTTATCAATCTGATTAAGTTCTTTATAAGTGAGAATGCCAGTATAGTAGCGGGGTGAAGATTGCCCTACCTTTTTGTTTATTTTTTTTTTCTCACTCATAAATACTTTTTTTTAATATTTCTACTAGCCGACATTTTTTGGTGATAAAAGTAAAATTAAATAATTAATATAACTTATGGAAGATTGAAAAGTTTATCTGCTTGTGGTTCCAATCTCCTTAATAGTGGGAGTTATTTTAGGAGCAGCAATCACGTCTTATTTTCTTAAAAAACAGTTTCAAAAACGAACGCAAGAATTGAGCAAACAAATTGAGTCTGCAGAAAAAGAGCAAGTAAGAAATATTTCGAGTGCTTTTGGTCGTAAACTTTCGGAAGAGCAAGTAAATAAGATGGTTAATGCTGCTAAGAGTTCAAAAAGCAAAACTCCCAAAAAAAAAGTTAAAAAAAAGAAATAATAATGCGGATGAACCTATTTTTAATTTGTGGTGGTTGTGTTAAAAAGCATCAAAATTACCGCACTTCCAAAGCCAAAAAGCCCCAAAGTAGCAAATTGAGTTTAAAAAAATATTGTAAGTTTTGCCAAAAAACTCAACTTCATAAAGAAGAAATTATTAATCG